ACCCTCGCCATGCCCACTTAAATCTCAGGGCCCCTTTTAGGGTCTCTTACAGTGGTGACCCTTCTATGATATTTTGAGCTCTATGAGAGGTATCTCATGGAACTTGTAGAGTTTCACACATGAATGCCATTTAGCTACCAGAGGTAAAAAGCGAAAATTTTAGGATGCATTCAGTAAATAGCCATTAATATCTCATGAATTACAGAGTGTCATGACTTGTTGCTGGGTATTATGAAGAAGGAATTCTCAGTAAAAGAGAAGCAAGGAGAGAAGAAATGGTAGAACAATGACTCACAAAAGTGATATAGAAAAAAAAGTAGTTTAGACTGTCACAGTGTGTGTGTGTGTGTGTGTGTGTGTGTGTGTGTTTGTATGTGAAAAGAGAGAGAGAGAGAGAGAAGAGTGTTGTTGGGAAGGAAGAATCATTAGAGCAAAGTGTGAAGACTGTTTCAAAATACAACTCTACCATTTCATTCAATGTGCTTAAACAACAGTTTCATGTCAAAAATGCATGTATCTTTTTAAAAAACCTTTTGTAGTTTCCATTAATTTCACATTGAGTGAATCATCTTTATGTCAATAGCAATCACTCTATTTCTTTAATACTCAAAAATTGTTTGCAAAACTCATTAATCCTACAACAGCATAGTAGTTAGTTTTGTTATATTCTCTGCTTATTCTGATAGAAGTTCAAGTGATTTAAACAACTTTAAAGTTCATATATCAAATATAGGGTGAAGCTGAGACATGGGCTTGTAAAGCCCTAAATAACCATTACTGCAAATGATCCATTTTTCTTTTTCTGAGTGTTAATTCTTAGTGGAAGGAGATTTAGGTTGGAACAAAAGCTGATTGGTAGGGAATTAAATGTACTTCACAGTTTTGCTTTGGTCGATTCTGGCTAGTGTTCTAGACTCTGAGTTTTTCATTCTTTGTTTACAGGCCACATTTCCCTCTTCCAAATATATAATATAACCCATAATATAGCTCTAATTTCTTGAACCTTTATTATTGCTGACACACAGATATACATTTTCTACCTTTTACATTTCATCTTTTCTTCATTAGTTTAATTTCTCAAGAGACTGACAGATTTCTTTGTGTTGACTTACTTCAAATTACCAGATACTAAGTGGTGAGTCAGGATTTGAATCTATTTTACTCCAAACCTTACCATCTACAACACCCAAGAATCCATATTTTATATTTATTAGTTCAAGGAAAAACATAGGAAATGAATGTATTTAGTTCTCTGTACCCATTGAATCAAGGTATAAATAATCAATCATATGTATAATCAATAGAAAAAAGCATTATTTGAACATACAGAACAGAATTTAATAGATTGGGCTGACTGTGCTATCACATCTCCTATTATAGCACTTTTAAGAGGCAGCTGGAATTGCTGGGCACATAGTTGTGACCTTTCAACTCCTGTCTTGTAGGAGGGAGCCTGCATTTTCCTGGGACTGCACTCCCTTCGAGTCTCACTGGAGCTTCTCATCAGGACAGTGACTAACTGTCATCTGATGGTCATTCTCTATAATCCAGCAGACCAGCCTTCCATTGCCAATGTGACAGAGGTAGTCCAAGGTGACTTCCTGCATGTAGTAGAATATTAAGACCTCCTTTGCTGTTCTTTTTTTACATTATTAATTTTTAAATAAATTTATTGTGCATATTTGAAGTTCAAAGCATGATTCATGGATTCATAGAGACAATAGTCATCACTAGTGAAGCTGATTAATGCTATCATTTCACAGAGAATATCCTCATCACACTGTTTTGATCCAAAGTGTTGAATAAAATCCACCCACTAAACAAATTACCCAACACAACCCAACTTCACTGCTACAGTCCTCATTTTGTACATTAGATCTTTTGTTGGTCTACATATACTCTACTTTGTATCCTTTGATTGATAACTCCCTATTCTCTGTTTTCTTCTTCATCTCTGCAATAATGACTTTTAAAAATCCTGCACACATGGGCTAATGCAATAAATTTCAATGTCTGGGTTATTTTATACTTTAATGCCCTCCTGGCCTATTCACTGTCCAGGATGAAATTTGAGTATGTCTCACAACTTTATCTTTATTTCATCACTTACATATAGTAGAAAGTCCAAGGACACTCTAAAGTCACAAAACACAGAATGATGTGTAAATTGCCTGTGAACAAGAAATTAGTGGTTAATACAAGCCATAACTGAAATGAAATTCCTTTGGATTCTGAATGTGAAAATCTTCCCACACTGTACTAAAGTATACAGCAAAAGGGATAAATATGAGGAAATGAGCAATAAGTAAAAGTGTGTCTCTGGTCTCCTGAGATGGCTTTCCCTGAAGGGAAGGATTTGGGAGTTTATTCATTTTAATTGCTATATAGAATTTCACTGGCATCGACATTCACCATTAATTTGAAGAACACACTACTGTATTGTTTCTTCAGACACTGTGGCAATGCACAGTATCTAGCTCTTGTGTGCGTGTAGGAGTTTCTCTACAGATTATCACAGAGTAACGCCCTGGCTCAGAGGAATGAGATTCTTCAACATTGAAAGTAAAGTTTCTGTAGCTTGTTTTATTCCTAAAAAAAAATATACAAACATTTAAATGTTTGCTAATCTAATGGGTCTGAAATTTTATCTTGTCCTTTTAAATTGTGTTTCATTGATTATGAGCAAGGATGATGATCTGCTTACATTGTTTATTTCCAAATTTACTTTGGAATCATACTATTTTTTTCCATTTTTACTAGAGTGTTGTTCTTTGTGAATGATCTGAAGCTTGCACATCACATTCTGCCTTTTTTTAACTCTTTATTTGTTATGTACATTGTACTCTAATCTCTAGCTTGATTTTTACTACTCATGAGGAATGGTGTGTTTGCATGTGTGCCCAAAGGCCTTAATACTAATCATTTCCTTGATGGTTTGAATTTTATCAAAACATATACCTTTAAGATAAGACCATGAAAATGTCCTCTATGCTTTTCTGAAAGTCATTTAGGCCTTGACTCAACTTCATTTTTTTTTTACTTTCAAAAGAGATTTTATTTCACATTGGTCTACAGTTACAGTACATACATTTTTGGCATAAAGACACAAAGCTTTTGGAGTTTTAAATAGCCCCACTGCAAGATTACAGTCATGAAACTCCAATGATTATTTATGTAATAGTAGATTAAATAATCAGATTAAAATAGTTACATTATCTAGAATAAAATGAAAATCAATATATCTAAAATAAATTCACATTTAAATCATATATTTATAAAATATTATCTTGAAGAAAATTTTATTAAGCTTCAATATAATGTAATAGAATGACTAAATAACAGTAGTAATTTAAACTGAAAATGAGAGAGAAGTCACAAGAATTTAAATAGACCTTATTTTACAGTGGTCTAAAATTATAGTAAATGCATTTTGACATAAATACACAACCTTTGGAGTTGAGAAGCTCATTGCAAGATTTCATACATAACGCTCCAATTATTGTTTATGTAATAGTGGATTAAATAATCAAGTTAAAATAAATATAGTATCTAGAACAAAATGAAAATTAAATACACTATCTAATAAAATAGAATGGAAATAAAATAATAAGATTCCTATTTAAATCACCTGTTCATAAAATACCATCAATACTATCTGGAGAATTTTACTTCTATTAAATCTTAAATTTAAGGTAAATAATAATGATCAAGTAAGAGCAGTTCATTTAAACTGAAAACAAGAAAGAAGTCAAAAGTTATGCAAAGAGTAAAAACACTGCCAAGTCTCTTCTTATCTTCTAAAGCTTCAGCGCAGGATCATCTGAAGTGGAATCGACCCTGAAAAAACTCACTTCTACTTCAAGAATGTGGCTACAGCGGGGGGATATGCAGATCTTGGGGAAAGACTGGGGAAACCCCCAAGAATGGAACTTCTCATTGGAACTGGAGGATACGGTGGGCCACGGTAATCCCTTGGGACAAAATACTGTCCAGGGCTTGGATCCACTGGGAAGAATGGACCTCGGACAGGAGAACAAAACCAGGACCCACTACTTTCCTTTCAACAGGCAGAGATGAAACAGGCACATATGAAGTAATCTCTGTGGAGGAAGAGCTGGATCAGTACACGGTTGATCTGATGGAGGGACCATCATTCTTCTATCCCGATTGCATGGAGGAGACAGGGACCCAGTCTCAGGAGGTGCTCTACGAGGGCCAGTCACCCTATCATTGCTTGATTGTCTTCTTTCATTGCTAATGTGATGCTCTACAGGATTCTCTGGGCTTCTTGAGCCTTGTCCTCCTCAGGAAGAAAAGGTGGAAGGTCTGAATGGACCTTCCAAGAAAACTGAAGGAAACAGGAAAGCTCTCCTTTCTGATGAAGGTTACCCAATGGTGAGGGATCATGGAAAATGCTCTCTGCCACATGCTGCGTTTGAAATACCACATTTCTCTAAATGTTCAAATTCCAAATGCATTTTAAGTAACTTTTGTCTCTTGCTGGCATTGACTTTCCTAAAATACTTGAGTTGTTTTTCAGCAGCCTGGGCTTCCAATGAATTAAAGTGATTTTTGTTCATAGGAAACAATCTGCCTTTCATAATAATGATTGGTTCTCTCCAATTTTTCTTCGAGCTCTCTGCTGCATTTTTATAGGTGCTAGGTCGTCAGCTGCCTGTCTCATCTTCTCTTCTGCTTTGGAAACTTTCCTCTCTAGGTTCACTGGTAATGATCCTCTGCAATAAATTTCCTGTAGAATTTCATTCCGATCTCTTCATACAGTTCTTTAATTTCTTTAATATTCTGCCAAAGTTTCTTATTCTCACTTCCAACTGTGTATTTTCAGACTGTAAAAATTTCTTGTTTGCACTGGACATTTTTAATACACTTTGTAAGATTTCACTTGCTCTCTCGACGTCACACAACTGTGTATAAACTTGGTTCCTTTCTTGTTCTAAGGATTTTAAAGAACCATTTAACTTCACAGCATATATCAGCTTTCACAAAGATTCTTCTGTCTGGTTATCTAAGAGAGCACCATTTCCTGATCCACTCTTCATTGCTGATTGCAAGTGACTATATGTCATGTGTTCTTCAAGAATAGCCCAGACTTTCATCTTTAGCAAGCATTCAGTTAGACCTGATGTGATCTTCCTTGCATTTACAAGTTGTTCTGCATGTGCCACAGACTCTTCAACTTTAATTTTCTGTTTATTAAGTTTACTCACTTGTTCCTTGAGTGCGTCAGTGTCTCGTAAAAGCTGCTTACAGTTTTCTTGAAGTTTGGCATTTTCCTTAAAAACATCTGTTGTTGAGTCCTTAAGATGCTTCATTGATCTGAAGTATTCTTAAGGTTATTTTGGCTTTAGCTACTTTTGATTTGAGATGTTTTGACTCATCCTCCAGGAATGTATCATTTTTGACATTTCCACATTCAATTCAACTTGTTTACAATGTTTAGATTTCTCTTCTATCAGCTGGTTTCCTAGAAGGAGAACTTCCTCCAGTTTGGACTTGATATTCCCTTTGCATAGGCTGTATCCTTTAAAGATGACTCTAAGGCACGTGCTGTTTCTGAAAAGACTAAGTTTTTCAAGTAACTTACATTTTTCTTCAATTAGTCAGAAAGCTTCCCAGAAAGATGATTTTCTCTTCTTGCATAAAGTCAGCTTCGAACAGATTCAAAACTTCTCCACAAAAGCAACAGAATAGAAAAAAGTCCAATAATAGCACATATATCACTAGCTCCCATGGAAAATCACAGGGCTTTTGGTCTCGTTCTTCAGGATCTGCTGTCACAACCCGCAAAATTCCTTAGGACCAGCCCCAAGTACATCTGATGACAGTCTTGGGCCCATCCATGGCTCCGAGGCTGCTTTGGCTTTGCCAAGGCCTGGCTGAGACTCAACAGACAACACTCAAAGTTCTGCCTGGAACTCTCATGCTGGATCAGACCATTCCAGAGTTGGCTCGGGTGGGGTGGGTTGGTTAATGGGCAGTTTCCTCCACCCAGAGGGAGAAGCTTTACATGGTCAAACCTTTTCCAGAAGGTCCCACCCTCTTAAATAAAGTAGAGAAAGATTTCCCAGATGTCTTAAAGCTCATCTGAGAATGCTCATAGAGTCTAAGAAAATACTTTTCTTTTTCTTGTGTGTGGTGTGGGGGAGGCATTATTTATTACTGAATCCCAGACTTAGATGTTATTTTAGACATGCCACAATTATATACCTAACACAGCAGTCTTCATTCCCATTGTGTGAAAGCACAATCTGTCTGATTCTGTTAGACTTAAAAATGCTGAAAGAGAGCTTTCCTTTTCTTATTCTACCATTCATATTTTCTCTTTTTATTTTTTTCTATTTTTTATTGAACATTGAATCTAATTTTATTTTATTTTATTAGTTACTTATTTGTTTTATTATTCTTTTATTGGGGGTACATTGTAACATTTAAAAGTTCCCAATATATTATAGTTGAATTCAACTTGTTTTTGTTTCCTTTTAGATAATTTCTCTCTCATTTACCTCTCTCTCTCTCTCTCTCTTGTTTGCAATACTGGGTTTGAACTCAGGGCCTAAAGTTTGCTAGAGAGGTGCTCTACCACTTGAGCCAACCCCTCCCACTCCCCCCAGTACCAGAAAAAATCTTCTCTCACCAACATTTACTAGAGCACCAAGGTTTCCCCAAAGATCTGGACTTTGTTCATGTACCAAATTTCCATATATGCATGGATCTGTTTCTGGTGTTCCTTGGTCTGTTGTACATTTTCTTCCTTCTGTTAACTCCCTTTGTTTTTGAATCCATAGTTCTACAATATGTTGGAGTTTTGCAGCCCAATTCTGTAGACATGACATTTCAAATTTTCTTTTCTTTTTTGGGATCTTTGTTTCTTTTAAAATTCTATCAAAAATTTGTTGGAATTTTATCAGGAGTACATCAGAAACAGTTAGAATTAGTTCAGGGTTTAAAATATACATTTCTTATGGCAGTGAATAAAGGCGGCAGTGGTGGAACACACCTGTGCTACTGGCTACATAGGGACCATAGTAGGAGATCTCACTCAACCAGCCTCAATCAAAACAGGAGACCCTATCTGAAACAGACTAAAGCAAAAAGTGCTTCATGGTAGAAGACCTGTCTAGCAAGGACATACCCTAAATCAAACCCTAGTTTTGCTATATATGTAGGCTAAAGGATATACACACACTATATATGTGTGTGTGTATACATACACATATATGTCTATGTGGTGTCTATATATACACATAGACTCATCAGTTCTAATGATGACATCTCTTAATAAAGAGAGTCATATTTCTTTCAAATCTACATAACTTATTGCCTTTTCTGAGTTAAGTAATGTAGTAGAGTGTGTAATAGGATTTGAATAAAAGAATGATACTGAATGCCTTACTCTTTTCCTGATCTTAGCAGGAAAGCATTCAGCCTTTCACCCATTGCATGTAAGTTTATCTTAGGACATTTTTTTGCAGAATTCTTATGACAATGAGTAAGTTCTCCATATATTAGTCATTGTCATGGGGATTGATGTATTTTGTTCACTTTTTTTCATGAATTTGATGTATCAGATGTCGTTCTTCTTGGACTCTTTATGAATCTGGTTATGAAATGTCCCTGGAAAACTCAAGTACTGTAGGCTCGGGTTCCCAGCAAACAGTGTTCAGAGGCCAGGAGGCATGGGATGTGATCAGATCATTAGAGGTCTGGATTAATCCATTGATGAATTCACAGTTTAATGGGCGACAGGGAA